GATTGGAAGGGAGGTTCACTGCTGTTCAACTGCTGTTGATCAAAAGAGCAAAGTGGGCAAAGTCAAACAGTTTCTGAAGCTAATAACATCCTGGCTCAGCACAGTAGAGGACCTTGCTCTTGCTCTTTTCTTTCAGGTAACTACGAGGTATGCCCCTAGTCCAAGGCCTGGGCGAGGGTCTTGGGCCCTGTGTGCATGACAGGCACATGAACTGTGCCCTGGATATTGCTTGAGCCTTAGATGTTGAAAAAAATGTATATATATTCATAGAAGTTTCATGAAATTGCCATCTGCAATAAGATTCTTAGACCTTTAGGTTTAAGGAATTACTGGGGCTTGGGGGTTTGTGTCTCCAGACGTCATGCTGGCAGCGTGGGGATGCTCTGCCCCCCCTTCCCAATGCCACTGTGAGGTGCCCTTAGTGCCATCCCTTCTCCTTTTTTTTTTTGCCCTCTTCCCAAGGTCCATCTACTCAACAGCTTTATTTTGGACCCTGCAGTTGCTGGGGAGCAGAAGAACACCAGCTAGTGGGCTGGAGGAGGAGTGGAGTCAGCAGGGGATGACACCGCAGATGAGGAGCACTTACCAGGCTCAAGGGAGGGAAGAAGGGAAACACGACTGAGGTGCTCAGACCTGTGGGCTGTGCTGAGGAGGTGTGAAGCCTGAGGACAGTAATTGCTACACAATTGATTTTGGGTTGCCTTAGGTGTGGTGCATGGACTGCTGGGGTGCTGAGGCTGCCAGCACAAGAATGTATGGGCAGAAGGATGGGGTCACTTCCTTGCCTTATGCAATATTCTCCCCTTATAGGTTCAAAAATTACGTTATCTATTTATGTGCAGCATTGTTTGAGAATTTATGCTGGGTTGGTTATCCACTGTTACTGCTAGGTCCTCACCAGAATCCAGGCCTTCGATCCATAAATAAAATCTAAGTCATTGTTTCCTCCAAACCAATATCATGTTAAGTTTTTAACAGTATCAAAATACTTTTGGGTTGGTATCTTTTAATAAAGCAATTTAAATAACTCTTACGGTAATCTGTCTTCATTGTCTGCTTGCAAAACAATCTTTTTATCAGCAGCAAACTTCACCACAGATTTTTTTATAATTGTCACATCTGTAAAATCATTAAACATTTTTGGCCCATGAGCTGAGACCTTTACATCATTGATACCACACTGATAACCATCAATGGCAACCCTTGGAGATTGGTCTGTAAACCAGTTTGCAAATCCAGCTCATTCCCTGTTAAGTCTGTACCGTTTGGTACCAAGTCAAGGGCCGTAAAGGAACCCAGATACATTCTGTGAGCACAGTTACTTTATTGGCAGAACTTACAGTCCTCCAAAAGGCAAGCAAGGCAATAAAAAGGTTTTTGACAATAAGGATTTTCTGCGACACTGCCACTTTCAGTGACAGTGCTGACAATTTAGTGGTAGGTGTAATAATGGTCTTAACCTATGCAGAGAAGTTTATTCCAACCTAGAATATTTATAGCAGGACTACACAATGTAGCTTCCTTTATTCTTCTTTAACTGTCCTCAGTCCAAATGTCAGTGTCACGATAAACCTTCAGTCACTTGCATTAATCATGCTTTTTTAATAGCAACAGGAGGAGTTCGGTCCTTTCTATCCTGCAGCTACTGGGATCAGGATGGGGCTGGTGGCTGGGGCTGGGAGGGGGACAGATTGTGGAGTGGGGCTGTGATGAAGGGCTCTGCCAGGGTATGCAGGCAGAAAGTGTGGAGAAGGACCGGGACCAGACAGAGCCCCAGGCTCCTGGGAGCTGCTGAGTCAAACTGCAGCTGTTCGTGGGGATTATGTCATGTTTAGGGCCTCCTCTGTCATGCAACGGGGCAGCTCTGAGAGCCCCAGAGTGGTCTGTGCGCTGCCTGCATCCTTCTTCTCTCCTCTTCTTCCTCTTCCTCTTCCTCCTCGCTTCCTCTTCCCCCAGGCCCTGTTGTGGTGTGTCTGACCCCCACCTTCTCTACCCCAACTTTCTGTCCCCTGCTGTACCATTACTTGGCTGCCAGCAGCTCTAGCAATTATTTCTCCCTACAGGATACACTCTGCGTAGGTGTGTGGATGCAGGAGGAGGAAAGTGAGAAAAAAGTCTGAGAACTGCTGAATCATCTGCTATTTTTGCAAATTGAGATGAACAAAGGGAGACACCATAGTATGTGCTTGAATAGCAAGGACCATGATCCTTCTTTCTCATTCACTCTTGTGCTGCAAGTGTTCTCATATTTCGGGAACTGAGGAGCAGCAAGTCGTGGACCAGATGCCTCTCATTAAATATCAGGTCAATAATGGACTTCCATGAGCTTCTCAGTCATCAGATTCCAAGCTTGCACTGGCCAGATGTGAGAAACCACACCCGAACGGAGGCCCCATGGTGATTATACACACAGAGCATTAATTGATAATAATGCCACAAAAATGAAATCTTTCTACTCTGTCACAAAAGCAAAAGAAATTCCTCTGCATGTCAAATTTGACCCGTTCCAGATTTTTTCTGAGCAGCTGCAGTTTGCGCCCATGCTGTCTTTTCCACGCTCATGGAAAGGGAAGGGAAAGGAAAAGCAGCATTTCTGCGCCAGTATTTTCCAGACCTCAGTACCTGCATGGGTGCTTCTCTGACTTGGGGCAGGTTCTTAACTCACATGATGAGAGCAAACGAGGAGCATTCCCTCCAAAGGAAAAGAAGCCTGGGCAAAGCTCCCGTGTCACTCAAATAATTCAGCACACATCCCTCTGACAAGTGGTTCCTGAGAAAAAGGCCACCAGGAGCCTTGTTTTGATGGTCTTTGAACCCTCCAGCATGGACAACCCTGTGGTTAGTTTCTCATGGTTGTAATTCGCTGCATTGTTGTTTTTACATCTGGTGAAACTGTTAGAATCTGACTTTGAAACCTTTATTTCAGTTGTCACCTGGGACAACAAAAGATCCCTCAGGGGGAGGAATACATGAAAATGGGCAGATGCACAGTGGGAAGTTAACATTTGTAGCAAATATTTAACTTCACGCCCGGAAAACTAGATTGGTTTTTAAGCAGCTTTGTTTAGCCTCCTGCAGAAAGTTGTTGCCTGCCAGACTTCTTAAAGGTGATGTTCAGGAGGTTTTCAGCAGGTCCACACACGTTTGGGTTAGGCAGTGTTTATTTAAACCTTTGACAAAATAGAAAGTATCATTTGTCATTACAATGTATAGTATGTACAAATATTGCATACACAGTGGAATAAGTATGCCTCTTTCGTAATATGTCCCTTTCAGAATTAATTGCAAAATTGTTCAGCTGGTTCTACTGAAAGAACCAACATTGTAACTTCAATTATTTATAGAAGACACCTCTGAGTATAGCTGGCTTCATCAGTGGTGAGAAAACACAGACCTTTAGATTAGACTTAGGTTATTTGGAAACTCACAAATACAGTCAGTGTCTTTGCATACATTTTCAAAAACTGTCCTCTACAAACTGTGAACAGCAGTGAGCTTTGTAAAGGCATCTGTGGGTAAATAGACTTAAAAGTCTTTATAAATCGTTTAAAAAAGGTATTTACTACTGACACTATCATGGGTGAGAGAGAAACCCAGATTCAGTACACCAGTCTTCCTACCAAGTTAGAAGCCTGCCTGAAGGGCAGGCAAGATTCCAGCTAAGTTCTGCCATTGAAAGTACATCTATCTTTGGTATCATCAAATATAAATTACAGCTCTTTGGTGTGAATTTGCATGCCTCTTCTTTTTCTGCACAGAAAAAAATATAGCAACAGTTTGACCACAACCGCCTTTAAACATGTGTTTTACGGTCCAAACCTGGAGCAAGAGCAATTCTAGGATATTGCACAGATTTGTAATGAGGCTGGTAGTCACGGCATGCCATGTGGCTAGAAAATGTATTAACAAATACATAGTTCAATCTTTATAATTTGTATAATTAATTTAGGTTTATGAGTCTTTTCAAAGATTATAATGACAATTGAGCGTTGTAATAAATCTTTCATATCACAGAATCACAGAATGGCTAAGGTTGGAAGGGACGTCTATACACCAACTGATCCAAGCCCCCTGTTCAAGCAGGGCCACCTAGACCCAGTTGCCCAGGACTGTCTCCGGTTGGCTTCTGAATATCTCCAAGGATGGAAACTCTACCACCTTTCTTGACAACCTGTGCCAGTTCACAGTTACCCTCATAAAAAAACCCCAAACAAATGTATTCTGATGTTCAGAGAGAGCCTTTGGTGTTTCAGTTTGTGCCCATTGCCTCTGGTCCTGTCACTGGGCACCACTGGAAAGAGCCTGGCTCCATCCTCTTTGCACCTGCTCTTCAGGCTTTTACATACATTAAGACTCCCCTGAGCCTTCTCTCCTCTGGGCTGAACAGTCCCAGCTCCCTCAGCCTTTCCTCACAGGAGAGGTGCTCCAGTCCCTTAATCATCTTTGTGGCCCTTTGCTGGACTCTCTCTGGTATGTCTAGGTCTCTCTTGTACTGGGGATCCCAGAACTGGACACAGGACTCCAGGTGTGGCCTCACCAGTACTGAGTAGATAGGAGCTATTGGCAATGCTTTGTCTAATGTAGTCCAGGATACCATTCGCCTTCATTGCAGCAAGGGCATGTTACTGGCTCATGTTCGACTTGGTGTCTACCAGGACCCCCAGGTCCTTTTCTGCCAAGCTGCTTTTCAGCTGGGTAGCCCCCAGCATATACTGGTGCATGGGGTTGTTCCTTCCCACGTGCAGGACGTTACATGTGTTGAAGTTCATGAAGTTCCTGTCAGCCCATTTCTCCAGCCTGTTGAGGTCCCTCTGGATGGCAGCATCACCCTCTGGTGTATCAGTCAGTCCTCCCAATTTGGTGTCATCAGCAAACTTGCTGAGGGTACGCTCTGCCCCATCATCCAGGTCATTAATGAACAGGACTGGACCCAGTATTGGCCCCTGGGGTACTGTGTTAGTTATTGGCCTCCAACTAGACTTTGTGCCACTGACCAGTACCTTCTGGGCCCGGATCACTCCAGACACCCCACATAATATTTGAATATTCACACTAGGTTCATCATCATGGTATTTGAGTACTTTCCACAGGTTTAAGATCTTTTGCTCCTTGCTTTCTTTGCATATCTGCATGTGCAGTTCATTAACAAATGCCATTTCGGTTTTGTCATGGCGTTAGCTACCAGTATTTCATGTTTATCAATCACTGGGAAATAACTTAATTGCTCTTTAGAAACCTGCTGAGCTCAATGTACTTAGAATGCTGGGGGAGACCAAAGTGACTCAGAACACTGGGAAAGGATTTTCTGTTGTCAAGAAGATTCATGATTTATGTTCATTTGCAGGCTGCAGTGATTTCGTTCACTTGGGTAATATTGAGTGAAATCTTATATGTCTCCACCCGTATGAAGCAATCTTCTGTTCTAACATTAAAAAAAAATGTTTCTAAATTTACTGAGAACTCTCCTGACACGCCTTTATTAACAAGCCAACTCTGGAAGGAAAAAGATTTCATTGCATTCAAGATGTTCTTGAAACAGTTTTCCTCATGGGCTTTTTTAACAGGAAAAAGCACCAAATCTTCGTCAGAATGCAAAATAATTGAAAAGTGAGCAACTTTCAAACATGTTCGAAGATTGAAATGCTGTATTTACACGCATACTGGAAAAGCTAGTGTGTTTTAAATATATTTTTGGTTAGATTTTCATGAAAACTTGTAACTGAAGCGGGGAGAGAGGGTTTATGGATAGTATAGACCAAACTTTGCAATTAAATTAGGTTCATGCTCAAGTGAGTAGTTAATGACTTGCATTTAACAAGGCTGTGCTTCTGTCTGAAGGCAATATGCTAATACTGACAAAAACAATTCAGATTTACAGTCATGAAAGGAGGATGTGTGGCCAGTTTTAAAGGTGGTTGTAATAATAGAAATGCTGTATGCGAACAAAAGAATTACCAAAGAAGCCTGAGATACTACCTCTGTTCTTGACCCTGGTGAGAAAACCAGAATGTTTTTTGAGAAACAGTGGATGGCTGTATTATTAAAAACTACAGCGTAATGCAGCTTCAAGAGCAACTTTTACTCTTCTCCCTACCCCCTCTTCCCCCCCCTTTTCTTTTCTGCTTTGAGAAAGCGTTTGGCTATTTCGCACAGTACAGAAGGTGTCTGTCGCCATCTAGTGACACCATGTTGCGCATGAATCGGAATGGGGCATCTAAGCTGAGCCTTCCCAGGGGGAAGGTTGTTCACCAGTGCTCTTGTCAGCCTCTTCCGAGGAATTGAGGTCAACAGACCTCAGTCACTGCTCTGGAGGCTCCGGGCTCACTCCTGAGGAGGTGTCCCAGAGATGGTACAAATGTATGCGGAGAGTTTCTGGTGGGACGGCTCTTGCTGTGCCTGTGCTGTGGGGAGCTCGCACAGGTACCTCTGTGCTGACAATTCCCTGCCAGATTTTAGGAGCACTTGGAGAGGAACCCCTGCTCATTCCACGATGGAAGAAATTCTTTGTATTTGGAGGATGCCATAAAGTAAATCTTACAGTGTAACAGGTCCCAACACTTCCTGATCTTCTCTTCAACATCGGTATTATTATTTATCACAGTGTAATGAATTTTTTTTTCTTCTGGATTCTTGTATGGTAATTTTTTTCTAATATATCAAATGAGGTAAAATGTGGTAAAACAACAAATAATCCATAGGCTTGAGTTTCCTGCTCACACTGCAGCTTTTTCTTGTGCCATTCACTCTGTGGTCTCCTGCTGCCCAACTAAACTAGCTAGCCCCTGGAAGGAGCTGAGTTAGCCACTGCAGCCTCTGTCAGCAAGGATAAGCAAAAGGAAAGGCCCTGCAGGGAAATCAAAAGAAAATGCAAATTAATTTGTTTCCCAGAGCGTGTTTCTCAGTGCCTAATTAAGTCCACACCTTCTTGCTGAAGTCCACAAGAAGAACCATCATTAGATTTCCCACTGCAAGAATATTATAGGGTTTGTGAATGAGAGGCAAATTGGGAAAATATTCTTTAGAAACCACAACGGATTAGCGGAGCAGGCTGTGCAGGGAGGGTGGGCAGGAGACCCCCTGGAAGGGGTTGCAGGCAAATGGCCCTCTCGTGGTGGCTCTCAGCAAAGTCAGAGGAAAGTACTCTGATCTGGAAATGGCAGTCGGCTTGATACAGGGATTTCCCCCTATCCCCCATTTGTAGGTGGATCTTGATTTGGCGCAAAAAAAAATCAGGATAAATTTATTCTATTCTTTTCCTATGGAATTATTTGCTTCCCTCCCAATATTAACAGAACATTCATCAAGCAGACTGAATAACTGGGATTTTTTTCTTTTCAGTAATGACTTATTGACTGCAACAGCAAGATCATCCTCCAAACTATACAGTGTAAATAATCTCATTTGCTTTCCTATGTTTCTACTTTAGTTTACAGACATTTTAAAGACTATTAAACATTAAAAAAAAAAAAGAAACTGATAAAATGGTCTGTTTCATTATCCATCCTCCTGCTTTGTATTTCCCCTGTTTCTTTAATTATCCCTCTTAGATTTTAAGATCTTTGGTTGCAGCAATCATTGGACTTTTGTTTACTAAGTGCTTCATTTGTTCCTAGTACATGTAATAGTACTATTCAATGGGAAGCCAAGCTCTGCTGAATATAAGTAGCTGAAATATTAATTGAAAAATATTGGTGCTACTCAGCTGATTTGAAGTATGAGCACATATTGAGCCAGAATAGTTCAGTCAGGTAACTGTGGAAGGCAACTGGAGTTCCTTTAAGCCAGTGCTCCAGAAATTGTCTTAAGTATGCTCCAGAAATTGTCTTAAGTATGTACCCCAATTCAAAATTAATTGAGAAGCCCCAAGTATTACATGTAAAGAGAGATCCTACAAGGGACAGAAAAAGAAAAAAATGTCTTGCCAGACAGAAGGCCTATAGAAAGGTGAAAATGTCAAAAATCAAGCTTAGGTAAAGGCTGCAAAAGAAATTCAAGCGAATAGTAAAAGGTACCTTGGCCATAAAAACGGTAAAAAAGAAGTGGACACCTTATAAAACATAGATGTGGTTGCAATTAAGGATACTCTAGGTCCTGCCCCAAACTACCTGAGTATTTGGCTCAGCATCAGTAAAGGTAATGCCTCAGCACACAGGGGCAAAACCAAGGATGTTAGTGAGAATGGGTGTGGAAAGAGAAATCGTCATGTGCAAGGTGAAATCAAAGGGCAAAGAGCTCAGCTCTCAAGGATGCCCAGTAATTGAGATAATACAGCCAGTGGTAAGAGGTTTAATGCATTTACTAAAACAGATGGCAATACCATCTGTTTAAAAAAAAAAAAATGGAATAGCAATCTTTAAGGAGAAAAGGGATCCACAAAGTATATCAGGATGATCTCAATTGCCTGCAAGGACTCAAGATTTTGGGAAAGAAATAGAGATATAAAAGTCTGTAAACATGGGAGAAATAGTTCCCAAAGGCAGATTGTGCCAAATTAACCTGTTATTTTTCTTTGCTAAAATATGCAATGCTTGCAATAAAGCAAATCCATATAGATTTCAGTAAAGTGGCTGGCATGGTGTTATGTGGAAGTCAGTGTGATGATGCAGGAAAATCAGAGGGAAGAAACCAACTGAAGAGCAACAGCAATGGCTGTACTTACAGGAGAGTGCTCAGGCTACAGGGAGATGATTTGTGTAACTGTGTATTAGGGGTTGACTGCATTTATCATTTCTGTTAATGATTATGTCCAAAGAATAGAAACGATTAATGAAATACACTGATGACAGAAAGAATGAATCTGGCACACACAGTAGGACTGAACTGCCATAAAGCAAGGGCTGAGCTGACAGAAGTCTAACACAATGAAGGCAAGGGACTTAGAGACTAGGAAGAGTTTCTTCAGTAAGTACAGGTCCATCAGCTGCTGACAGAAGATGAAGAGAAAGGCCTGGCTGGGTTAATCATTGTCCATCACAGGATGTCTAAAGACCACTACTGTGACATCATCATGAAAAACGAAAACACATCTAAAGACCTATAGGTGCTGTATTTCAAGTAGGGTAAAGGAAAATATTTATGCAACCGTATAAGCTGAGACTTTACACAGAGTGCTCAGAACAACTCTGTCACAGTGAAGAAGTAGGAGAAGTTCAGGAAAGAGGTCCTTAAAATGGCCAGAGAAATACTGATACCTTTGGTATAGGCCAGAAAGTGTCTTGTTTAGCTCAACCAGATGTGGTTTCAGAGGGTATCAAGGGTAAGCACTGGGAAGGAAGAACTATGCAAGTCGAAGGATACTACTCCGAGAACAAATGAGTATAAACTGGCTACCACTGAATCTAAACTGATGATAGACTTGCCACCACCAGATAATCTAGAACTGTTGATTTCTGAGGGGAGTGGAGGCAAACAGCTGTCTTCCATCTGAAGTTCACTGCCCTTGTTCACTGCTGATGCTTGTGGGGTTGCTGTGATAACAGAGGTGGGATGGATTTGAGTTCCGAGTCCCATGTTTTCCAGCTTCCTTCACGTTCAAGTTGCAGTTCTGCACAGTCTGAACATTCCCAATACAAGCAATACATTAACAAGCAATACATCGGTGCACATGCTTAACTTTAAACACAAGATTAGTCCCATCAGGTCTTCAGGTTTCAGGGGAAAACCTGAACCATGATAAAAAACGGACATATAATGGAACCTCTCATTTAAATTCAAGCAAGGTAATCCAGACAAGCTTAACAGAAGGAAAGATTTTGCTGCATTTTAAACCAAATTTAACTCACTATAGTGTAAATACATCAGTGCATAAAGATGAAAAATATATATACTATAACCAAAAACTGACCTCAATTTACTCTCTATTGAATCACCAGGAATTAAAACCTTGCAGCATCAGGGCCCTCAGGTCTTTTTGTAATTTGGGAAAGTTGCAAACTTACAGATTCAGTGTTGGATTTTGTTAATGCATGTAATAATTATGAGTGTGGCAGTACATAGAACATGTTGCAAGTCTCCACTGACGTATCTCTTTATATGTATTTATATGAAAATATACATTTTCATATATATATATATATATATGGAGGTGATTCTGTCCCTCTACTCTGCTCTCATGAGACCACACCTGGAACATTGCATCCACAACATAGAAGGACAT